CCCCCACCTGCCCTCCGCATGTGCCCCAACCAGGGCTGGGGATCGAGCCTGCAACTGAGGCATGTGCCCTTGACCAGAATCAAACACCAGACCCTTCAGTCTGCAGGCCGACGCTCTAACCACTGAGCAACCAGCCAGAGCAGTATTTTTTTTTCTTTTTTAAAAATTTGTATTTCCTAGGTCTGCCTACGCAGAAGGCCTAGACGCAGGAAGCAGCAGTGACAGCCGCCCCGTGGTACAGACTGTAGTGTGTGAATGCCCGAAAGGCCAGGGTGCTCTCAGAGGCTGCTGGGCCACACCAGAGGCCACAGGAGCCAACTCCAGGGGCTCCTCCTGACCAAGGATGAATCGAGAAGATAAGAGAGTGAAACACGTCTACCATGCGAAAAACTAAGAGTTCACAAAGAATTGCACTGAGCCCTAAACGGTTTGGCTCAGTGGATGGAGCGTCGGCCTGTGGACTGAAAGGTCCCAGGTTCGATTCCGGTCAAGGGCACATGCCCAGGTTGCGGGCTCGATCCCCAGTGTGGGGCGTGCAGGAGGCAGCTGATCAATGATTCTCGCTCATCATTGATGTTTCTCGCTCTCTCTCCCTCTCCCTTACTCTCTGATTAAAAAATAATACAAAAGAATTTTTTAAAAAAATGGCTCTGACACCTCAGAGATAAGGCAGCTACTCAGTACTCAAAGTGATAAAGAGAAAAAGCAAGAAAGAGAAATGCAAATGAGGGAGAAAGGTGAGGACAGCTGCAGCCACATGGGTTGTAGGGAGGGGTCAGAGGTCAGCCGAGGTGGAAAGGGGGCACAGCCTAGGGCTGAGCCAGGGACCCCGGGGGCTGGGGCAGCCAGGCCTCTGACCTGGGCGTTGACGTCCACCTGTCCTGTGCTGAGCAGCAGGCTGACCATCTCCAAGTTCCCGATTTTGGCTGCGTGGTGGAGGCAGGTGGAGCCGTCCTCCTCCTGGGGGAGACGGGCAGGTGAGTCCTCGGGCGGCCCCTCTAACCCGGCCCGCCCGGCCCCTGCCCAGCAGCGCACCTTGCTGTAGACACACCCGCCGCGCTGCACCATGTAGCGGGCCACCTCCAGGTGGTTGTTCACCACGGCCTCCATCAGCGGCGTCCGCTGCTGCTTGTCCACGGCGTTGATGTTGGCTCCAGCCTGCAAGGAGGGGCATGTGGCTGGCACAGGGGCCATGCTGACCTGCAGCAGCACGTGGCAGATCTCCACGGAGCCCTTCTGGGCGGCCGCGTGCAGGGGTGTGCGCTTGCTCTGCTGGTCGCTCTGGAAGTTGGGGTCCAGGTTGTCCACTGCGGGGAGAGCCCGCCATACGGGAGAAGGAGGGACACGTGGTGAGCGAGCGAGGGGCGGCGCCTGCTCCAGGAAGGCTTCTAGGGCACGTGTCAGAGTAGGGAGCCAGGGCACCAGCTCAGCCCGAGTCAAAGCGGCCCTTCCCCGGTGCTGC